AAAACATCAATAACAGCCTCTGCAATATGAATCATTATTTTCAAACATACTGGGTTTATATACCAAACAAACTGACCACATCGTACCATAAAACAGGAAAACAATGTTTGTACAAGATTTAGCCAAATGTGTCTGTGAATAGGGGGGGGGCAGTAATTAATAGACTGGGGATAACTGAAGAATGGTAAATCGCATAATAATAGTCTGTAGATGAAAATAAAGCTTATAAAGAGTAGGATATGAATCTGAATAGTTTAGTTACTTAGCAATTATACAATAGGAAATATACACATCATATTAATCCATAAATAGTTCTCAAAACTTACCATTCATAACTTTCCACGGGATATAACAAAAAAATAATCAATCCCACTATTTTATAAACTTTGAAAGTGTAATAAAATAATATCGATTTTTAAAAGATTTAATGAGAAACCTAAAATGAATTAAGATGATAGGATTTATTTGATAGGAAACTCAGCTACGGTTTCGTGCTAGTTAGCATACATCTAAAAGATGTATCTGTTTTTCATAGGTGACTGATTAGCTCTATTGGGTTCGAACCAATGTCATCCAACTTTATTATTCAACTATCTAGCATTTCAACATAGTCCGTACGATGTCGAGCCGCTTAAACTAGAAGCTGTATTACAAGCTGACCGATAGAATTCGATCAACACTAAAGGACTAAACAAACGAACAATTAGTTACTACTTAAGTATCAATTTCAAGTTCAGTCATATAACCTGTTTCAGGATTCAGGACATACATTTAGTCCTATTTGAGATTGGTTAGCTTAGTGTTCTTATAGCCGTGTTGATTTCTACGCTGTAACTTGAACTGTAGCGTGTAGTCAAAGAAGCATATATCAATACAAATGGGAAAACCCGATTGTCACACTCTCTGAAAAAAACACTCTTTTTTTATTGTACTGTGAGTAGTGTCTTTCAAACACATGATGGTGTGCCTCCTGGATAGTCGGACTGTTTCCATAAGATAACGTGAGCATTAACCGGGTGGTGGAGATCGGCCTAATGACTCACTCTACCTATACCCACAAATGATTACGATGGCTACAAAGAATCATTGCAAAATTATTATTAATTAAAAAAGAAAGAATACATGAGTCTGCCTCAAAAAATACAGAAAGTAAAGAAAAGTGTAATGATTCTGAGTAAGCAATGTTAAAACAGCTATTGAGCCCCGTTAGTTGTGCCATGCTTCGATGTTGCATTCTTCTCCAAAAGGGTCTACTAGGCTTCATCATGTTACTATGGCTGGAAGTAGGGGGGATTATTAAACGAGATATTTTATTAGTTTATTCTTTGTTTTTTTTATCATTATAATTTATATTAACACTATCTAATCAGATTTATTCTATTATATATAAATCCTCTTTTACAAGACTCATTCGGTTGTAAGCTCAATGATCAATATAATATTTATCTAATTTGAATTAACCAATAGCGATTGTTAGTGTGTTCAAAGCTTCCTTTTTTTTTGTCTAATGCTTGTTGCTAACTAGTTTGCTTCTCTATTTTGTATTTCTTTTTTTATTAGTTTTGTTTCCATTCTAAGAAAATTATTGATTTCTTACATAGTTGGTTTATTGTAGTTGGCACAGGTTGTGTATATTTTCTTTCATGTACATTAAAATGTCACCTAGTTGTTTAAAAAAAAAACGACCAGTGTAGCAGCAGCCTCAACAGCAGTAGGTCTCAATAAAAAACAAAGAGAATAGCAAGATTCTTCGATACAATACAACATGCACCAATCGAATTACACTTGATGAAGAAGCTTTGGAGGATGTGAAAACTTCTACATATCTGATATGTCTTGTGGGTTGAACGCTATATTCAGATCCTAAGCTATTCGGATAACCCCAGGCTAGCACTACTCAGCGACTTGAAAGACCAGTAAGAAGACACGAGTAACAGAGAAATCACTTTACTACAAGGTTCGATTATGTACAGAAAAAACAGGGGTTTTATAGTAATTAGAAAGACCTTGAGATTCCATAGTAGCAATATGTTAACAGCCAATCAGGACCTTGTTATTTTAGTAGCATAGCTTCTAACTGATCGCTGATTGGTTGGTCTCTTTATGAGCCTCTCTGGAGGCTCTGATAGAGTTTATTGTATGCCGATCTAACAATATCTGGGCACCATCATTCATGAACATGGTAGATCTGATGCAGATGTGAAGATGCGGATCGGCAAAGCAAGAGCAGCATGTTTACAACTGAAGGACATCTGGAACTCAAAACAATTGTCTACCAACACCGATATGAGAATTTTCAATACAAATGTCAAAAAAGTTCAGTTGTATGGGGAGGAGACGTAGAGAACTACGAAAGCCATCATCCACAAGTTACAGGTGTTTATTAACAGTTGTCTACGCAAGATACTTCGGATCCGTTGGCCAGACACTATCAGCAACAAGTTACTGTGGAAGAGAACAAACCAGATTCCAATGGAGGAAGAAATCAGGAAGAAGCTCTGGAAGTGGATAGGACACACATTGAGGGAAGCAGCCAACTGCGTCACAAGACAAGCCCTCACATGGAATCCTCAAGGTCAAGAGAGAAGAGGAAAACCAAAGAACACATTACGCAGAGAAAGGGAGACAGACATGAGAAGAATGAACAAAACCTGGATTGAACTAGAAAAGAAGGCCTAGGACAGAGTGGTTGGAGAATGCTGGTCGGCGGCCTATGCTTCATTGGGAGTAACAGGCGTAAGTAAGTAAAGTAAGTAAGTAATTGTTTCGAAGATCCCTGAGCTACAAATCTTCATCACCATCTTAAAATCATATGAGCGTAGTAGGCTTCTCATCGTTCGAAAATGGGTGAATTTCACCAAAAAGCCAAGCTTCCACTCAAGAACAACTATATTTTCTCCACGAGTGTAACAACCAAACCATCCAACTCAGAGAACAAAACCCCATCAAAATCTTGTTTTATTGTTTATTTCTGAAATTGTGGGTATGAATGTAATATTATGTTCACCATTCTATAATATTGATATAGGATTTGTTACTTTCATAATGAGCTATATTCATTCTTGAATATGATTTCAATCACTACTGTCATTATCATTACAGAGGTAGTTATAATGCCTTGTGGACGATTATGAATGTAATAATTCTACTGAAAGGAATGAACAATCCAATTTGACTATAACATACTATAATGATAAAACTGATATTGTATTTTGATGTGGATTTGTTCTCTGAGTTGAATAATTTGGTTGTGGAGCTTTCATCATCTTTCTGAATAACATCATCGGCACAAACTTCAGGTAGAAGTGAAATATTTGAAAGCTCCACAATCAAACCATCCAGCTCAGAGAACAAACCTATATCAAAATCACCCATCTGAGCTATAAATCTTCTCCATAGATATTGTATGTTTATCAAAGATTCGGTGTATCAATCATACTTCTCTGCTATAAAAGAAATCATAAGTTCATGTAAAGTACTCAATCTGTTATTGATACTTATCATTTCTTGGTAAAGAGAGGGTTTTATCATATTCAACGCTGTTTTTCTAAGTTTCTTACGTTGACTTTTATGCATAAATGCTCTCTGGATATACGTTTCGGTTTGTTTTTCTTGATTGTATAAAACATTACACTTTTTTTTATTTTGTAATTCAATGCACTGCTATGAATTCACGAACAATTTTTGAATAGCTATTTTTCAAAAAAAAAAATTAATAAGATTAGTTTTAGCATATTTGGATAGTAACTTAATGCGATTTTGAATTATTTTTTCTGGTTAGCGTTTTTTAGCGAGTTAGTTTTTCTACGGGATTGGGTCGCTAACCCCATGCCCAACTCTCATCCTTTACTCGGGCTTCAGAACGGCAGTAATTCTAGAAGAGCTACAGGCGTTCGACAGTGTGGATAGGAGAACATTATGGAAACTTCTTCGACACTATGGAGTTCCTGAAACGATTGTCAACATTATCCAAAGTCGTGCATGAAGGACAGCTGACAGATGCATTTCCAGTAGGGACCGGAGTCAGACAAGGCTGTCTACTCTCCCCATTCCTCTTCCTTCTGGTGATTGACTGGATTATAAAGAATTCGACATCTGAAGGGAAATACGGAATACAATGGACTTCTCAGAATCAATTAGATGATTTGGACTTCACAGGTGACCTAGCTCTCCTCTCTCATACACACAAACAAATGCAAATGAAGACAGCAAATGTAGCAGCAGCCTCCGCATCGATAGGTCTCAACATACACAAAGAAAAAAGCAAGATTGTCAAATGCAACACGGAGAACACCAACCCAATCACACTTGATGGCGAAACTCTGGAAGATGTGGAGTCTTTTACTTACCTGGGAAGCATCATTGATGAACAACAAGGATCTGATGCAGATGTAAAGGTGAGGATTAGCAAAGCAAGGACCACATTCCTACAGTTGAAGAACATTTGGAACTATAAATAACTGTCAAGTAACTTCAAAATGAGAATCTTTAATACGAATGTCAAGACACTACTACTGTACGGAGCTGAAATGTGGAGAACTACTACATCCATCATCAAGAAGGTACAATTATTTATAAACAGTTGTTTACGCAAAATACTCAACATTCACTGACCGGATATAATCAGCAACAGCTTTTTATGGGAGAGGTTAGATCACCTTCCAGCTGAAGAGGGAATTAGGAAAAGACATTGGAAGTGGGTAGGACAAACACTAAGGAAATCACCAATGTACATTACAAGGCAATCCCTAACTTGGAATTCAGAAGGGAAGCAGAAAAGAGGAAGGCCAAAGAACACATTACACCGGGAAATGAAAGCAGATATGAAAAGGATAGAGAATGCTGGTGAGCGACCTATGCTCCTCGACGAGGGGTAACACGAGTAGGTAAAGTAAATAAACTTAGTGCGAGTAATGTTAGCATTTATAATCATACTACTTGAACAATATTAAGTAGTTTATAAATTACATTTTCATTTTTATGATTTACATTACTTGTAGATTTTACTTTTGATGGATTCAGTTTGGAATCGTGTAGAAGTATGATTGCTATGATGGATGTATCCTTTTGTTTACTTTTAAAGTGATTAGCATGTGTGTAATGAGAAAGGATTACACAAAGATGGTATGGTCTGTAACGGTTAGTGATTTCAAAATTAGTGTTCCTTGTTGAATTTTATAATTAAATGGCATTAATCACTAGATACTCAGCTTGTTAATGAAAGGTGCAAAATTTCAAAGACACTAAATATCTGCCACAGTTTTTGATGAGAAAATCATCCACAAATTACCCAACAAAATAATTATCGTGTTCTCATCAGCCCCCAAATGTCCTGGTATAACCGAGAGTGGGGAGAGTCCTCTCTCCCTCTCCAAATGCTCTCACATGACCACGCGTATATAGCCTCCGCCACACAAGTCCTGCTCACTGCCTTCTCACAGCATTTCTGTTGTTTACGAAATTCAGAGGACGAAAAGCGAATGTCCGGTGCTTTAACCGGTTTGGTGGATACGGAAAGTCCACTTCGAGGAGTTGGAAAACCCTAATTTCAAATCAGTGGTGTACATGGGCTCCAGTATCCTGAGGGAAGAAATGGCGTGAGAATCAATCGCTGGTCATCGGCTACCTTGGGACCGCATCTCCTTACGATGCTCCACTGTCTTGCGTATCAGATCTTCAGGTCAAAGGCTCCGGGTGTGGTCCCCTAAGAAAACCACCTGCTTCAGTTTAGACACCTGAGCAGTATCACAACCCTCACACAAATCAAATGAGATTTGTTTGGCGCATACCTATTCGGTGTCCATTTGTACCAATATTTATGTGTTCAAATAAATAATAAATAAATCGCATTTCTGACTATGTTCATGGCAGATTTTAAAGAAGATTCCGCTGACAACTATGAAAGCATATAAAAAAACGCTTCAACTGAAAATTGAGTGAGTCAGCAATTTACTAATTTCATTACAAACTGTTGGATTCTAATTCAACAGTTTAGATTGTTTCATTTGACCTGATTTAAACCTAAGATTGTTTTTGCCGAATTTGAATCATATTTAATACCTACATATTGATTACACCAATATATAACTATCTACACCTTAACTCAGTTATTTTGGCGTAGGTCGATCGTTCTGGTATGTTAAACTTTTCAGAATTTCGAAAATTATGGGATCTGTTACGTGTATGGAAGGTGAGTAAATAATTTTCAACTATTTTCTGACGATATTAACTATTTCTACTTTAATACAATTCAGTATTTAGCATCCTATGAAACAGATGGTAATTTTAGTTCCCGTTATCTATTTCAATGTTAGTTTATAGTAAGGATTTTGTCCTAACCTTTATTTCGGGATACTTGGATATTGAAACGTCGGGCAATCAATCGAGTGATATGAAACGATCGTATTTTTCAACAATGCTTTAAGCATATGATGCTGTTTAACGTTCATCTATTGTATTGAATGTGATATGGCTTTCGTAATGATAACTATGCTTTTCCTTAACTTAAAATGTGAAAACCACTATTTTCTGTGAACTCATTGAATCATTACACATGTTACAACGGAAACATCGATTCTTATCCTGTGATGAGATTTACCTCAATTGCTTATCAGACTACTTACATACTTACTTACGCATGTTACTCCCAATGGAGCATAGGCCGCCGACCAGCATTCTCCAACTCTGTTTATCAGACACTCTGAAATAATTCATAGTGTATTTCTTAACTTAACGTAGTAAACGGACCGTATTCAAAATAGTTGACGATAGTAAATTCGATAAATTTATATTTTTAATAGTTGAAATCAAGAGTCAATTGAAGTTAGACCAACATGGAAAACCTGGAAGCACAGGGCGGTCGTTTCGTCCTATTGTGGGATTCCTCAGTGGCAGCGCGCATCCACCATCCCGCCTCGTGAGCGAGATTTGAACCCAGGAACTACCAGTCTCGATCCAAAGCACTTAACCGAAAAAACCCTTCAAATTTATATTTCCTGTTGTATATTACAAATTATCCGATAAGTGTAGATAATTTAGCTGTTTTATTCATGAGATGTACGGTTCTTGGAATGAAACGGTGAAGCGAAATCTTCGGAACTCTTCCTTTGTTTTCGCCTCGACGTTTCAGCTTAAGCATTTTGAAACAGGATATTACTAACATATTGGCGGTTTAACATGTTCACCTTGATTATTCCATTCAAAGTTAATTACCAAAATACTCTGGTACAGCCAAGGGTGAAGAGAGTCAGCTCTCCTTGAAATGCTCTCATATAACCACCAAAGTCCTACTCACTGCCTTCTAGCAGCACTACCGTTGTTTACAAAATTGAGAGAACGAAAAGCGGACGTCCGGTACTTCAACCGGGTCTACGAACACCGGTTACCCATTCAAGGAAATTGGAAAACCCTGTTTCCAAACCAGTGGTGCACATGGACTTCAGTATCTTGAAGGAATAAATGGCATATGAACCAACTGTTGGTGATCGGCTACGATGGAACTGCATCTCCTGACGTTTCTCCACTGCCTTGTGGACCCTACCTTTAGGGCGAGGTCTCCGGACGTGGCTCCCTAAGAAAACCACCTGCTTTCGTCTGGTCACCCGTACGTGTAGCATATGTATTCGATGCCCCTTTGTATCGATATTTATGTATTCAATTGAATATAAGTAAATACGGAGTGTACATCAACTCTGGGATGCAGGCATATTCAATTGACGAGTCCTAAACTTGACGAAACGCACATTCTGGATTCCACCATCTGTATATATATAGATGATTATCATAATCTGAGTTAACTTGAGTAAACATTAGGTACCTTGAAGTACTAAGTAATAATTTTGTTTTTATATAAGAACGACACAGTTAAACGTATTTCAATAAGCATCATAAGCTCAAGAATTAAAGCCATTTATAACAGTCTTGATATCGGTTTTGTATTGGATACAATTTGTTAGATATTGGAGAAAATGGCAATACATCTATTGAACAATAGTTTTTTTTTTCGTTTAACAGTCTATATAACTCAATAGTATCCAAAATAACTTAAGCTGTATATCCATACAACCAATATCACAGACTTAAGAATTAGTATCCCAGTTTACTTCACAATACCCTTGAATAGATACTAGGTAGTTTGATTGAATGACCATTGACTATAATTTACTATTTTCATACATGTATAAAACAAGAACCATCAACAGATTTCTCTACAGCTTAAGTAAGTAAACTACTTATTTCCTTCAAATCACTGGCTTCAAGAAGTATTTCCTGGAGTTCTAGTGAAAAGCAGTGACCAGTTGAGTTAAACCAGGTCTGTTAGGAGATATCTACTAACTGAAAACATTGGTGAATGGTTACTCAATTTGGTGGATTGGTTGAAGTTAGACATTAACACCGTTGGATGCCGGCCAACTAAGTGGTCTGGAGGTTAAGCACTCGCGCGTAAGACTGATAGGTAGTGGGTACGAATCCCTTTGGTGCGTGAACGTGGATGCGCAATGCCACGGAGGAGTCGCATGATAGGACTAAACAGCCGTCAAGCAGTGCTTCCAGGTTTTCCATGATGGTCTAGTTTCAATTGACTCATGATTTCAACTATATAAAATTGTTTAATTAGTTAACTCACATTCTAAAATTGTGTTTGTCTTTCTTTCATTTTTTCTCGTTTGAATTACAAAAAAAAACAAATCACCGCCTTAGTCTGCATTTAAACAATTTGATACGGATAAAAGTGGTTCAATGAATTCGATTGAATTAAGAAATGCATTGAAACATGTTGGTACGTTGATTGTTTGTATTTTATTGACAATGATATAGATGTATGTAAAAAATGTTTCATGACATGAATACGTTTAAGCCCATGATGAATGTGGAAACCTCTTCAAAATAACACAGGATCATTATTGGAATAGGATTTGGAATTAGTGTTGGCACTTAGTATTAAGGATTAGAGTTATGGTATTTATCTCAAACGAACATCAGCCATAATAAGCAAAGATGGATAGTGTCTAGCAGTGGAATCTTCAGCCATCAGGACTCAGTGGCCTAGTGGATAACGCGATGGCGTTTGAAGCGAAAAGTACTGGGTTCGAGTCCCGGAGTGAACATCAACAAATCTGAGATGCAGTTTTATCCAGCTGACGAGTCCCAAATAGGACGAAACGCGCGTCAAACTGGATTTCACTGCTAACCACTATCCATCTTTGCTTACCTTGCTTGTGAATTAAGGCTATATCGAGGCAATATGCACATTATGCACATATGTCAATTAGAGACTGACCAATTGCAGTCCTAACACATCAATGGGAAGATTCAAACAAACAATACTAAATGAATCAGCCATAATGTAAGAACCCTAAACTATATATCCTAAGTCCTTGATCTAGAAATAAAATGTATTTCATCTGTTTCTTCCGTCCCCTTATTGGCTAAACGGCTTGAGATCTGATAATCATTCAGTAATAAACTTCAGTTTAACCATTTAATCTCCCATGTTCATGATGAAGGGTTCGTCACTTGATGTAACTAATCTAAAAGCATATGCTTCACTACTTAAACACAATTCCGACTTCGATATGATCAATGAAACTAATTCTATCCTCTTCTTCTCTACCTGCTAACTAGAGTGGAGAGTTTAAGTTTATCAAGAAGCTTTTCTTGGAGTAGATCCTAGAAGAATTCAGTTACATTCTAGTTTTAATTTAAATTAGATATCCGTAGGTTGTTACTGATCATGAAATCACAGTGAATCAAATCAATACAATGAAAATCCATTGAAAGCCAAATAACCAACTATATATTGAGTGAATGAATTGATACACTCTCTCTCTCTAAGTTGTAGAGAGGAAATCTTGAACCTAGATTTCTGGCTATTTGACACTTGTCAGCAATGTATACCTATAATGTCGAGGAAGATAATGTTTCCCCCTCGATTTCAATCTCTTATCATCGTGGCTTACAGTCAGAAAAGTTATTACTGAGTAACGTGATCGACAGAATTCGATCATCACTAAAATTAAAGAATTGACGTACATGTTATTATAGATCAGAGGAGGTTTTGTGGAGAATTTAGTATTTTCATAGTTGAAATCATGGGTCAATTGAAGCTAGACCACCATCGAAAACCTGGAAGCACTGGACGGACGTTTCGTCCTATTAACACCGTTGGATGCCGGCTCAGTGGTCTGTCGGTTAAGGGTTCCGGCTCGAGACTGGTAGGTCGTGGGTTCGAATCTCGCGAGCGCGGGATCGCGGGTGCGCACTGCCGAGGAGTCTCACAACAGGACGAAACGACCGTCCGGTGCATCCAGGTTTTCGATGGTGGTCTAACTTCAATTGACCCATGATTTCAACTATACATGTTATTAGTCACTACGCGAAGATCAGTCCATTGTAAGACGGATTTTTCTTCATCATACATTGTATTTGAAGATTTGTCATTCCCAACATCATTGTAAGCCATGAACATAGAAGATTGATACACTGTCTGAAAGAAACAGATGATAAAACTTTATATGAAACAAAATGAACTCCTATTCATTTGTTTAACATATGACACTTAGCTGATTCTGTAAACTAACTAGGCTCGAGACCCACATGTGGGATCGTGGATTTTCACTATTGAACAGTCCCATACTAGTACAAAATGGCCGTTCAGAGCTTCCAGGTTTTCAATGGTGATCTAACTTATATCGGTTTATGGCTACAATCAAATAAGTAAATCTCAGGCTAATGATGCTTTGACTAGTTATGTAAATTATGTTGTGCAGAAATATGCTTTCAACTTTTGGTTTCAATATCCGTGGTAGCCAGAAAGGAAGTTTAGAACATTGTGGTGCTGATTAGCAAAACCTTTCTGAAATAAAAAACAAAACTTGTTGTTATCATGATGTTGCTATCAGGAACGGTTGTATTCACTTTTCAACAATACAGTCCAGTCAACGGTCGACTTATTTGTTGCTTGGACATGACTTGGAGTGAAAGATATCAAAGTTTAATATTATTTTTTTGATGAATTAAGTTTATTGACCTAAGACTGCGAATCACTTTGCTATGTATTCTGAAAAGACTTATTTTATGACCTTTTTGGTCATTTGATTAGTCAACGCCAAACATTCTTCGCAATCGCAGATATGAATCCAGTTCAGATGTAAGAGTTCGAATGCAAAGAAATCGGTCATCTATCTCTATTCCTCATGATGCACTATGTTGGGTTTCACAAATCTAATTGACACAACACTCGTCAACCAAATAAATTATGATGGTTTGGTTCAGCTAGTGTAGAATTGATTAGTGGATCTAACTCTTAATGATTATTCAATGAGTGCTTTATTCCATCCGGACGTTCCATGTACCTATAAAAATTGTTGCTCTGGTTGTTAGAAAGTGCATCGACCTCATGACTTCCGAAGGAACTCAGCTTTCATCATGAGGCGTCATAATTATTACTTCAACTCCCTGGGCAGAGTTTAAATGATTTGAATAATTTTTCCTGGTTAGCGTTTTTTCAGCGAGTTGCTTTTCAACGGGATGGGGTCGCTAACCCCATGCCCAACCCTCCTCCTTCACCCGGGCTTGGGACCGGCAGTAGCCCCCGAGGGATCTACAGGCGTAGTTGCTTCATTCTATGATAACATCAATTTCAATAATAAGTAGACCATTGAGTTCACATAAAGTAATAATGATTTCTGTACCTATTTACCATTATATATGGATGAAATATGACTAGACGTTTTTGGGAATCTTCCACAGCTTAACTTTAACAAAAGGAGGTTAAAACATTAGAACAAGGAATTAGAATTAGAAATTATGATTACAGTTTCTATCGCTAATAAATTTAAAAGATGAAATTCAAATTTCCCTCTCTTAAATCACATTGGTTCATTCATAAATTGTAATTTTAACAATAAATCCATAGTTGAAGTTAGACCGCCATGGAAAACCTAAAAGCACTGGACGGCCTTTCCGTTCTATTATGGAACTCCTCAGCAGTGCGCATCCACGATGCCGCCTTGCGAGATTCGAACCTCGGACCTACCAATATCTTTGTTTATACATTGAATTTTGGTTATCATTGATCTATACTACTCATTGTTTAATGACACTGTCATTTGTACTTTCTATGTCATCTCCTTGTGAAAAAGAATTCAATGTATGAACAAAGATAATGGTAGGTCCAGGGTTCGAGTCTCGCGAGGTGGCATCGTGGATGCGCACTACTAAGGAGTCCCACAATAGAACCAAACGGCCGTCCAGTGCTTCCAAGTTTTCCATGATGGTCTAGCTTCAATTGACTCATGACCTCAACTACTGAAATTACTATGATATCCACAAAAACCCCTTCTGATAAAAATCTTTAGTCAACCATTTCTACAATAACGTTCTTTTGGTTTGTTTTTTGTTTGTCCTTTTAGGTTTTTCCATTAATAATGCAACATTTTCTACATTGGTATTACGTTTTTCACGTCGTGATGGTAGTGTACCATTTGATAGTTATGTAATATGTTGTGCACGTTTACAAATCTTATTTGAAGTATTTAAAGCAACACCTAAAAATGATCAATTACAAGCATTATTTACTGAAAGTGAAGTAAGTAGTATTGTTCAATTTTAAAAAATTGTCATTTAATGTTGAATAGATACATCAAAAAATGGATATTGATGAAGAGCTTTAATCTAGATATTCACTGTTATTGATACGATCTTTTAGTTTACGTCATAGTTCAGTAGATCTATTTGATGATAACAAAAACAATAGATATGATAGAATAAGATGTAATCATGTATTACATGATTCATTTAGTATTGTTTGTTTGAATCTTTCCATTGATGTTTAGGACTACAGTTGATCCATCTCTTATCGGTCATATGTATATACTATGTGTATTGTCTTGATATAACCTTAATTCACAAATCTCAGAGTGAACATCAATAAATCTGAGATGTAGGTACATCAAGTCAATGAGTTACAAATAGGACAAACTGTATTCCACTAATAACCACTATCTAACTTTGCTTATACATTATTACATGGTTTCTTTTGAACTTGATCGCTAAACTAATAAACTGATGATGGTATCACACTTATAAAATGTCAAAACAATGATTGATTTGTAAATAGGATACCATTGCTTGGTACATAATAATTTACAAAACTCTAAAGGTGATATGTTTTCACGAATCATTTAAATTACCAATCACATATGAAAATTTTTCTTCAAAAAATTAGACAGGAATATAAATACAATGTATATTGTAAATGAGGAAACATTATTAAGGACTCAGTGGCCGAGTGGATAACCTGTTGGTGTTTGAAGCGAAAGGTACTGGGTTCGAGTCCCAGAGTGAGATGCAGGTACATCCAGCTGACGAGTCCCAAATAGGACGAAACGCGCATCAAACTGAATTCCACTGCTAACCACTATCCATCTCTGTTTACCATACTTGTGAATTAAGGCTATATCGAGGCAATATGCACAGTATGCACATATGGCAAATAAGATACTGATAAGTTGCAGTCCTAACACATCGATGGGAAGATTCAAACAAAACAATACTAAATGAATCATTATTAAGGTATTTTCAACAAAGAATATCAAGAAAGAAACGTAAATAAGTTAAGCTCTATATGTTGATAATAGACAGGTTTTAGTAGGATTTTTATCATAATAAAATGTATAAATACATTCTGTTACAATTAAAAGATTCAGTTTAACAATAACAATTTTAAAAAATTAAAAATCATTTATTGAAATTTCAACTGGTAAATCATATTAGTTTGTTTATATTTACAATAGAAATTAAAATTAGAATTGAATTGCTTCAACAGTTAGACTAACAATAGTTAAGTTAGTTAAGTTAGTTAAGTTCTATTCCAAAAGGGATCGTTGATAAGTAATTCTTGAGAAATATTATATAATAATGAATAAAAACAAATATATAATGCTTCTTCACTTTCAGTGATTCTTTAACTATGATTATTACAATATCAAAAGGGGTTTTCATGAATATTATAGTAATTTTATATAGTTGAAATCATTAGTCAATTGAAGCTAGACCATAATGGAAAACCTAAAAGTATTGAATAGTTGTCTCGTTTTATTATGGGACTATTCTGTGACAGTAAGCATCCACGATCCCGTATCAAAATGATTCAAACCTATAACCTATCGATCTCGCGTGCGAACACTTAACTTCTAGACCACTGAGTTGGCCGATATACAATGGTGTTTATGTCTAACTTCAACCAATCCATGGAATTGAACGACACATCCACCATTGTGTTTAGTGAATTGATATCTCACAACAGACGTGGTTGAACTTCACTGGTTTCTGCTTGTCACTAAAACTCCAGGAAATATCTCTTGGAACCAGTTACTAGTGAGAATATGTTGATTAATATCAGAAGGGGATTTTATCGATATTATAGAAATTTCAACAGTTCAATTCATGAGTCAATTGAAGTTAGACTAACATGGAAAACGTGAAAGCACTGGATGACCGTTTAATCCTATTGTCGGACTCCTCAGCAGTACACATGAATTGTGTCCGCTTTAGATATCATTATTAATTTCTTTTATATTAACTTATTAGTTACCAAGTGAATTTTATTCTTATTTGTTTTATTTTCTTTAAAAAAAAAAAAATAGTTTGTAAACAGTGCACTCTATATGTAATCAACTAATATAGATAGATAGATTCAACTATTTCTTTGGAAATTCATATATTACTATTACTATTATTAATATGTCATATCATTTATCTGAATATTTCAACTTTTCTTTTCCTTTTTGAAATATAATTGAATATTTATTATTATGATTACATAATATATTATATTATCTAGTTGATATATCTTTACTATTTGATTTACTCTTATCCTTCATCTTCCGCTTCTTTCAATTTTTCTTCTTCCACTTCTTCTTCTTGTTGTTCTTCTTCCGCTTCTTCTTCTTTTTGTTCTTTTTCCGATTCTTCCTGTTGTTGTTCTTCTTCCGCTTCTTCTTCTTTTTGTTCTTCTTCCGATTCTTCCTCTTGTTGTTCTTCTTCCGCTTCTTCTTCTTGCAACTATTTTGGCTTTACCATAGCAACTAAACAGTCAATTTATTCTATTTTCTGTTTATATATCTCTCTTTAAATAATGAATATAATATAACAATTTCTATTCATTTTGCAATATTCAATGAATGTTATCAGAGTAAACTATCATTATATTTATTATTCTTATTATGCATGGATACTTTGAAAGGTCTATTCTATACCGAATTAAGATTACTGTTGTTGTTGTTGTTGTTGTTACTTTGACAATGAATCATTTAACAAAACTGAATAACAATAACTATAAAGGGTATTTGTTTTATTTTTTGATTGAACTTTTCATGAATGGATGATTGAATAAGCTTTAGATTTTTGCTATACCGCATATTCCTATTAGACTACTTGTGAATGATCAAATCCGCAATGTCGCAAGAGAGAACACAAAAGATTAGTAAGTAGGAGTGTTATTTCCAATATAGTGTTAATTATGGTACAAAACTGTCAGATATTTATAATTTTTAGTAAAAATGAAATGGAGAACAACTCTCCGACTCATTCGAGGTAATGACCGGTGTTAGGCAAGGTTGCTTACTCTCACCCTTTCATTTTCTCCTGGTAATCAACTGGATCATGAAGACGTCAACATCTGGAGGAAAGCACGGGATACAGTGGACAGGCAGGATGCAGCTGGACGGTTTAGACTTCACAGATGATCTGGCTCTTCTATCAAAAACGCAACAACAAATGCAGGAGAAAACGACCAGTGTAGCAGCAGCCTCAATAGCAGTGAGTCTCAATATAAACAAAGAGAAAAGCAAGACTCTCCGATACAGTACAATATGCACCAATCAATTTACACTTGACGGAGAAGCTTTGGAGGATATGAAAACCTATACATAACTGGGCAGCATCATTGATGAACACGATGGATCTGATGCAGATGCGAAGATGCAGATCAGCAAAGCAAGAACAATATATCTACAATTGAATAACATCTGCAACTCAAAACAATTGTCAACCAACACCAACGTCAGAATTTTCAATACAAATGTCAAGACAGTTCTACCGTATGGAGCGGAAACCTGGAGAACTACGAAAGCCATTGTCCAGAAGGTACAATTGTTTATTAACAGTGGTCTACGCAAGATACTTTGGATCCGTTGACCAGACAGTATCAGCAACTACCTACTGTGGGAGAGAACAAATTAGATTCCAGAGGAGGAAGAGATCAGGAATAGTCGCTGGAAGTGGTTAGGATATACATTGAGGAAATCGTCTAACTGCGTCACAAGACAAGCCCTCACATGGAATCCTGAAGGCCAGAGGAGAAGAGGAAGACCAGAGAATACATTACACCGACAAATAGAGACGGACATGAGAACAATGAACAAAAACTGGATAGAACTAAGAAAGAAAGGCCCAGGATAGAGTGGGTTTAGAATCAAGTTTTATTTGAGAAAATGGGTCATTTGAGATTATTACTTCATGTTAAGGCTATACATGTTGATAGTATGAATTGGGGATGAGTAGAAATCAATCAGATACCGGATAAATGAGGATTAATTCAAATGGTGATCTGTTGGGGGGGGAGGGGGAGGAAATAAATATTGACAATCTCAGTAGCTTTCAAGATGTATGAATGAAAGATGTAGTGAATGTTTGCTTTATTCTATTTAATCCTAACAGTAAATAACTTTCTTTTGCAAAATGACCAAAACAAAATCCATCTTCCAACGGAATCAAATTATAGTCCTATCATTTATTAATGATTAACTACTAAATGTTGGCTATAATATTACTGGAAACATACTTAAGCCTGTTAATCCTCGTGGAAGAGCATAGACCTCCCATCAGCAATTTGATTTCAGACAATTAAGCACTGGATGTGAATTAGTTGATGAAAAAGGAAGCGGAAAGTGACAGTGTGTATAGATTATTGAAAATGACCAGCTTATTCATACGAGTGTGTCATTGTAACTCTTCTATCATTGTAATCAATATATTGTTGTCGATAAGCTGACATCTCTTCCTAAGTAGTTTTTTTTTTAAGTCTATGCCTTGAACTGCAAACGACAGGGCGAATCAGTACACACAGTGGATTAGGCCATCACATTATGATAAATTAACGACAGTACACTAGCTCTCTCAGTCTATCAACACAGAGAAGTTAGTTAATAAAGTATATAGACCTTTAAATCTAACAATACGACTGAACAAACAACCTTAAGTTAATATGAACCATGACATTGTTTTTAATCAAAACCAGAACATGGGACACAGAAAGGTATGGATGAAAAAGATAAATTTTTATTCAAAATGATACAAAAACGTTAGTAACGATGGATAATGGCTAGCAATGGAATCCAGGGTGCGCATTTTGTCCTATTTCGGACTCGTCAGCTGGATGTACCTGCATCTCAGAGTTGATGTTCACTCTGGGACTTGTGAATTAAGGCTATTTCGAAGGAATACGCACAGTATGCACATATGCCAATAAGGGACTGATCAGTTGCAATCCTGAACATCAATCGGAAGATTCAAACAGACAATACTAAATGAATTTAAACTTCACCCCATTGAACAAGAAAGTGGCTATCAAGACTCAGTAGCTGAGTGGATAACACGATGGCATTTCAAGCGAAAGATACTGGGTTTGAGTCCCAGAGTGAATATCAACTCTGAAGATGAAGGTTAACATCCAGCTGAAGAGTCCCAAATAGGATGAAATGTACGCCAAACTCGATTCCACTGCTAACGACTATCCATCTTTAATTATAATGTTTGTGAATTAAGGCAATATCGAGGCAATACGCACAGGATGCACATATATGCCCAATAAGAGAGTAACCAGTTGCAGTCCTAAAACATCAATGGGAAGATTCAATCAAACAACACCAAGTGAAAAACGTTAGTGTTATGTAGCATGTAAATAAGAGCGACTTATTAAATTTTCATGTCTACTCATACCAACAAGGGAAACTTTACAGTGTTACTTTAATTTCCTCATTATTTTAGTTAGGTTTTCCTGTTAAATACTGTTCCTTTTCAACAATTTTGTCCAACATTTCTTTGTATAATGATATCAGAGATTTATAAATGGTTCCTTTTGCACCGAACAATTAGAGTCTATCACAATGGGGTTTTGTGGAGATTTTAGTAATTTTATATAGTTAAGATCATGAGTCAATTGAAGCTAGACCACCATGAAAAACCTAGAAGCACTGGACGGTCGTTTCATCCTATCATGGGACTCCTCAGCAGTACGCATCCACTATCCCGCACTGAGATGATTCGAACCCAGGACCTATCAGTCTCGTGGATGCGCACTACCCCTGATGAGTCCCACAATAGGACGAAACGGCCGTCCAGTGCTTCTGGGTTTTCCACGGTGGCCTACCTTCAATTGAATCATGATCTTAACTTTATAAAATTAATGGCTATGATGGAAAATTGGATGATTATCATGAATCCTTAAAAGTGTTCAATAGATATTGGCATGTCAAAAGCCACTCATATGGTCAACCATGGATAATTTACCCAATAGCAAAATACATAGGGGTTGAATATTTAATTACAGCGTGATACCAGTCTATTTGCTTTCCAGTCCAAGTCGATTAGATTTTCCGCAATCGTAAAATTGACGTTTGTTTTCAAGATTTTGAAATCTCTTGCCTATACATGAGAATGAGAGGACTTTCAATTCGTGCATAATTTCACACACTTTAATTCCATAGCTAGCAATTTATCAAACACTTTATTAGAACCATTTCCAGTGTTGTCAATAAGGAAAGGTGTCCCTGAAGCATTCTGAAATTTTCTAGATATAGAATAGACAGTCCACCCTCAGTGATCGGATATTCACAAGTTATAATCTACAACAGAAGCTTCATCATCTCGGATTCACAAATTACAATATCCAAGAAGAAAAAGTTTATGACCAATAATAATGGAAGTGGGAACTTTGATAGGTATAATTATAACATCAGGATTTAATGACTTCAACTTCTCAACAGAATTGATCGAATTATTACTGACAGTGTCAGCAATAAAATCATGTAAAGCACTATTCGACGGATATAATCGTTGTCCAATATGAAGTGAATTATTGAAAGTTGTATATAAGGATAATATATGATCAACGGAATCACCCGGATTAATAGGATGTGGTTGACAGAGTTTAGTATGATCTGTGGTGAAATGATGTACAGTACTGGCACAAACTGTCTAGATGTGTCCAATCAAACCACATTTCAAAGCATTTAACATTATGCAGTACACATGCATTACGTGAATGTAATTTACCACAGGACAAAGATTTACCAAACGTGTGCTCAGCCTCCTGACCTCCTTTGCAATTCCTCAATGAAATGTTATATGCATGTTCTTGAGTACGAATCGCATTGGAATAACTAAGTAATGTAGTGGAGTTCTTGATGTCCTGGAAGTCAATTTCATGCACTGTCTCACAGTTAACACATGCAGTTCCAGTATCTTGAAAAGAACACGTCGGTATTTGTATGAGCTCTCCTTCCATATTAGGTATGTTAATCCTCTTATTCAATAAACCAATGAATCGATAGACAGATTGATCCCATATATGTACTTGGATTTGACCACCAAAATTGCATTTGGGAGCTTGTTTTACAATTCAACAATAAATTCTCCAATCTATTGGTTATTTTGACGTATCATATTTATAAAAGTTTTCTTCTTCATGACATTCAAAACTAATACACCTTACATGATTTCATAGTAGTTGTTTGATAGTAGCATAGACAAGTAAAATAGGCTTATCTGGGAATGCTAAAGCTTTTTAATAAGCTGTAGACATCCTTTCCAATGAATGTGAGTGAATGAGCGAAAATTTAATTATTCTTGAAATCTTTCCTGGTCCTACTCCACACTTTAAACTGTCCTAGGTAACCTTCAAAAACTTGGGAATTCGAATGTATATCCAACTGTTCCAACACAGGCTCCATCTTGGTAATAATATGATAATTAAAAGTATTCGAATTATTATATTAACTAGGAATTCGTGAAATAGTTCAATTTAAACCAAATAGAATTAGGTGAGTTTGTAGATGGCGTCATGATTGTCTATGATCACCACTACAATAAGATTACGTGCCCGAAAACGACTTGGTCCCTTTGATAATTCACAAACCAGAAGACTGTAACTGGTCCATATGGAGTATATTTATTAACAATCTCGTGGTATCGAATAAATACCGAGACGCGCCAACGACTACAGGCAAAAAGGCAGAGCACAAGAAAATTTGAATGAACAAGAAGGGCGACTGAACGAAAAGTGATTTTGATAGTTAAACAAAACGAGTACAATAAAACAATCACTGGTACAATTGGTTATAATAATAATTGTTTCCATTACACCAATCACGTTCTCGTCGAAAAAAGCAGGTCACTACAAATTCATACGAACTTCACAATATATCAAATTTTTTTAGCATTTCGTAAGTTTCCCATATGAGAAACAACTAACGGATGAGTTGGTTGAAGCTAGACCATCCTGGAAAACCTGGAAGCACTGGATAGTCATTACGTCCTACTGCGGGACTCCTCAATAGTATATATCCACAATACCGCCTCTCGGATGAGAAAACGATGTGTGACAACATATTTTATTCATTTCAAAATTCCAGTCATACAATACACGACACTGACTCTCTGTGTGTATATGTGTTTGTGTGTGTGTGTGTGTGTTTGTGTACGTACCAGTAATTTCAACCACAACATATTCTCTTGATTAAAGTATTACACCTTTCAATCTTGTTATTCTTTATCAATAACCTTGAACTCACATACACTTTATGAATGATTCTAATGTAAATATATTCAGTATGAAAAAGTATATTTTGAAGATGCTATTGGATTGAGTATATATAGTTCTAGTTAACAAATGGAATTCAATGTGTTAACCAATCATAATCATACTTAAAAACCCCCCTACTATCATTAACTTAATATTACTGATTGTTTCTAAGCTAACTTATTTACATTCCATTGTCTATTGATTTCAACATTAACATTCAGATATTTCAGTAGTAATATATATATATATAAGTCTTTAACAATAGACAGTTTTCATTGTATCTAAGTCTAAGTCATATCGTTTGGTAAAATGAAGGTGAATAATTTTTGGTTTGTATTCGCTATTAACGTGATGTTAATAGTCGTCGTTCAATCTGGGGATCAATGTAAGTGAATTATTGAATAAACGTTTGTTTTTGTTCCTGTAAACCGGAATTCCCCCCCCCTTTTTTTATAATATGATAATGTGAATCTCAAATACGTATGATTGATGATCGTAATACTGGATTCTTGATGTTTATTTACATACTTACTCCTGTTATCCCTTATGGACGACCACAGGTGGCTGACCAGCATTCTCCATATTACTCTGTTATGAGCAATCATTTCCAGTTGCTATTTCTACTTTTCATGTCTGTTTTCAATTACCATTGTAGCGTGTTCTTCGGTCTTCCTCATTTCCGTTTCCCTGTCAGGACTCATAGTTAAGGCTTGCCACTTCTAGCTTTTCCACGTATCTCTTCATGTCTGCTTTAATGCTCTTCACTTGCTTGCTTGTTTCTGTATATTCAATTTGTGCCTTGACTTCCTCTGTTATTTTTCGGCTGTTGTTGATTGTTGTTCTCTTGTTCTTCCTTTCTTCAATCTTTTTCAGCGTCAGGATAGAGATACATTCCTTATGTTGATGCTTCCTGCGACCCAAAACCTCCTGACACGCTGAAGTTAGTGCTTGTTTGATCCCTTTCCAGTTGTCCTCCATCGTAGTTTCTTCTTCTTTCAGTAGATCCTAAAAGGCTTGGAACGTGCTGTTTATGGTTATCTTGAATTCTTTGAGTCTGATAGTATCTCGAAGGAAGGCTGTATTGAACCTTTGCAATACTGTTCCCACAGCTGTCCGGTGTTTCTTTAGTTTCCGTTTCATCTTAGAAACCACTGAGTGATTATCTGAATCTATGTCAGCTCCTCTCCTGATTCGCACGTCTTCCATTGTTCTTCTGATTTTTTACATTGATAAAATACAATCTATCTGGTTCTATGTAGTGTGATCCGGTGGTACCTATGTAGCTTTGTGTATGCGTTTGTGTGAAAATATTGTGCCGCCTATAATCGTTTGTCTGAGTGAACATAAATTTGTAAATCTCTTCCCATTTTCGTTTCTCTCTCCGTCTATGTCGTTCCATGATATCTTTATATCCGGTGTAGTCCATTCCGACCTTTGCGTTTAGGTCTCCCATCAGGAAGGTCAAGTTTTTTCTTGAGTAAATTGCTGTGATTGATTGCAGCCTCTCATAGAACTGATCTTTATTGTCGTCATTGCTATCATTGGTGGGAGAATAACACTGGATAACATTCATCGTGATTCCCTCCTTCTTCTTTTTTAAGGATGCTTTGATGATCCTGGATCTGTGAGATTCCAATCCTACAAGTGCATATCGTACTTTTCTAGATAGCAACTCCATGTGGGTTTCGAACATTTTCGTTTTCGTGAATCTTCTCAGTGAATCATAACAGTCATATGTTTGCGAATCCCAAGCATAAGTTAATAGATCGCTTTCTCTATCCAACAGTTTATTCGTATCTGGTATTTTCTTCATATACATCCATCGTATAAAAACTGAAGGAAATCCTCAACATTCACTTATAGCCCTAATCTAGTTCAATAATAACGAAAAACTGAAACGATTCAGATATCATCATTTAAACGACTTCTGTGTGAAACAAATTATCTTTGAAATGATCATATTATTAATGACCTCAAAAAAATCATTACACACCTTGGTAACTGTCTTCAGCACTCTCCTCAATACAGCAAAGTCTTTTCTCAAAAGCCTGGGAAAGAAAAAAAGAAAACAGTAAATAAAAATAAGCGATATGCAACAATCAACAATTTGTAAAAGTAAATGTCAAGTAATCCTAAAAGCACTCAGTCTCTTTATGAACTAAGTCAGAAGAAAAACTTTCTTCGACAACAGTAAGACATGAGAAGATCAAGAGAGATCAGAGCAGAAGGTAACACGGAGATAATCGACCTTCGACAATGTATTTATCAAGGGCTCCCCAATGGCACAAGCATTATTTGATCCTAAAATAATGTATAGGTGCTGTCCATGTTTCCGGCTAAAGTTAACAGCCTGACATTTAGATGGATTAAGTAACAGACCTTTACCAACAGACCACCGTTCAATACAAGACAAAAGCTCGCTCATTTCTATAGGATGTGAAGAGGTAGAAATTTTCATAAATACAATTAGGTCGTCCGCATATTTTACAAAATTGTTTTCTGTGAAAGATGACAGATAATGCAGAAAAAAAAGAGAAAAGGAAAGGTGAAAGAATGGCTCCTTGTGGCACACCTTCATGAGATAGTAGAGACGTTGAATACTTTCCTCCGAACACAGTATACTGTTCTCTTCCAGAAACGTAGGAACATGACTAGTTGGTTATCCGACCATCACTGTTGACGTTGATCAACTTGTTAAGTAAGAAGTGTCTTGGAATAGAATCAAAAGAGGTGGTAAAGTTCAATAAAGCTCATCGAACATACTTCTTACCCTTTTTCAAGTTGAACACTTTATTGTGATGCAGAACAGCAACAGCATTTAACGTTTTCTCTTTTGCATTTGTAAGCAAACTGGTAAGGATCACTGTGCTCTTTTATTGTAGGTTGAAGTGGAAGTGTTAATAATTTTTCAGTTGTTTTGAGGAAAAGTGAAGTTATTGCTATGAGTCTAAATTTCACATTTTTATCACCAAATGACTTCTTAGGTATGAGGATTATTTCTATCTTTCTCCATATTGTCGGTATGAGATTAGTTGGGAAGGATCTGTTAAAGATATTCCTGAGTGGATGACATAGAACGTTAGCACATTTTTTAAAAAGAAGGTATGGTATACCATCAGGTCCTAAACATTTGGATGAATCAAGTGACTAGAGAAATTTTCGGGCATCATTTTCAGTGAAACTAAGCACACAAATATTCTTCAAACCTGTGGATATAGGAAGCATGACATCAGATGACTGACGTACAAAAGACTTATTTAAGTCACAAACATTCAGCTGGCTATCGCTTCTAATGTGCCTGTCACCTGTAAGTTCCTTATAGAGTCTTCACATACTTGGAGAGTTTCTACAAGATAGGGGTTTCTGAGTAAACACAGATTTTAGACGTCTAATCTCTAGTTTAATTTGACCATTTAGCTTTCGAACTTCAATAGTTTTTTGCTTCTTGTACATTCTTTCATTTACCCTCCATAGTCATTTTAGTTGTGGTGATATAAATCGACCAAAACTTAAAAAAAGTGGTTTCAGTAAGACAACAAATATCAAAACAGAATCTAAGGTAACAGGTGATAATATCAGTAGTGTTTTACAGTTAATCGCCTGTTAATAATTCCCAGTTAGTCATACGAAACATGTTTTTCAGATTTTGTATATTTCCTTCAGAGTGATTCCCATATATGACTTTTTTGGTCTGGTGTAAGGGTGTACTATTTCCATGTTTTCCATATACTTTAGGTAGAACACGAACTAAACAGTGATCCGAGATAGACAGTGGAGCATGTTTACGGGTCACATATGTACCATATCATTATTGAAAATGAATTTTGAATGCGCATCCAAAGGAGTAGGAAAATCTATTAAATTTTGGTGACCTGGTGATGTAAGAAAGCTACAGCCACATGAGTTGAAATTACCACATACAATTAAAAGTAACCCACTGAAGGCAGAAACAGCGAATTCAGTACATTCGTCAGCGAAAACAGATAGCGCAGATGATATGCAATCTGGAGTCATATAGATGTTGTCGACGTAATCATATTTGTATTTATTCAGATGTTTTGGAAGACATCTTGAATTTAGACAGTCGACAAAGTCATTTGAAAACTTGGAACAAGCAAACGTAGATCGACACCAGTTAACGTTCATAAAGGTATACGTGTGTTGTAGCTATAGCTACACCGCCACCACACCTCTTTTAATTGCTTGGTCGATCCTGAGGATAGATATTGAAATTACGTGCCGATACTAAGCAATCGTTCCGTACATCAGTTAATCAAGATTCTTGGATTGTGATGACACCACTATTACGATACAAGTTATGACGTAGTAGGAATTGGAGATAGTCCACCTTCTTAATGAGTGATCGGCAGTAAGAATTTAGCAGTTCGGAAATCGACATTTGATTAATGTTCATTCCCTTTAATGCATATTGCTAACCACCACAATGTCTTTTACTGTAGGTTTTTTAACTTTGGCAGCGATAGTACGTAAGCTTTTCATAAGCGCGCGTATATAGGTTATGTGATTAATAGACACAATGAGGCGTTAAAACAAAATAAAAAACAGAATTCTTGAAATGTTTGGATGGCAGGAACAGATAGCTCAAATATTGAAGCAGGCTTCCTAAGTGTGAATTTTTATTGGATAAAGTCAGTGAGATTTTACTATACGTTCATGATTGTTATGAAAATAATCACCAAATTTATTCTATTACAGCATTCAACATGCCGGGAGGTAAGTGATAAAAAAACAACTACGCTTTAACTTATTCTTTATTTCATGAAACAACATATAAATTTAATGCGAATGTGACATATTTCTGCGGGTTTTTCCTGTTGAATTTGTAGTGAAACCCATAGTCAAGTACAAGAAATGTTACAAAATAGGTGAGAATAAAAAATTGATGATAAATATGTTTATCTTATATCTTATGACTTTTTAATTATATAACGATACGATCGTCAAATATGGAACAGTGACTTATCGACAGGACTAATGTCTCATAAACCTATACGAGCAGTCTACAGTCCTTATCGATCGTTGTTTCTGACAAGCCCTGCTTGTTAAGTCCTGAGCATCAATCTCAGCCTTCGCAATATGAATTATGAATCCCAAACATACCATAAAATTTGCACAAGATTAAGCCTTAAAGTGGTTATGATTGTAAAGAACGATGACTACTAGATTGAGAATAACGCAGGAATACTAAGCTGCATAATAATACACAATAGGTCAAACAGAAGCTAATAACAAGCGAAACATAAGTGTATACATAGTTCAAATTCTCAAACGTTATGTAATAAGAGTATATGTGCATAATAATAATCCATATGTAATTACTACGGGTTACCATTCATTTATTCTCATTCAGATGTACGAAAATGTGATAAAATATATCGCATAACATTTCTAAATATAATAAAATTGTTGATATAGATGCAGGAATACGATGTAGACAAAGAGTATGGAAATGCTTATCATAATTAATTGGCAAGTATCGATAACAACAATGATTATTTATAAAAAGGTGGACCAAATAGCATCAACATGGTATTAAAATGGATATTATTTTATATTGATTGATTGCAACAGTGAAAGTGGTAAGAACTACTGAAAATCCTATCCCAAAAGTAGTGCTCACAGATGAAACAACCAATGAAAAAGAGACAACAGAAGAAACAATGGTTGTGAAGAAAAACAATGAAACAAAGGTGAGCGAAGAGAAGAAAGATGAAGACAAAAACACAGAAGAATCGACCGAAAGAATAACGAAAGATGAACAAAAAATCACTGAGAGCACGACAACTACAGAAGGTGAGTAAAGCCTAATTTATATAGATACACTAATTAACAGTTTGACGTCTACCGCCAAGGTTAAAAACAGATGAGAGTGAGGCAGATTTGTTTATTTTAAGGTCGACGAATTTGATAAGCAACGACAAAAATCTGTGTAAGTTTAAAAAAATTTGCAGCGTTATGAATGTAATAGAAGCAATGTTGTTTTTCTTATAAATCAGCTGAACAGGAAGACAAAGTCACAAATAATGATCCAACTCTCGGATAACAACCGGTCGTTGGGCAAGAAGATACTGTCAATGCAATCTCAGAAGAGGATAACATCATACGTCCAAAAGATGAAGGAAAAAATACTGAGATATCGATCCTTAATGATGGAAGCAATGATCAAGAAACCACTGTGACAATGAATACCACAGAATGTGAGTACAGCCTGAGAAATTAAACAAGAAGTCTGTTAATCAGTGACATTTGTCTCACAATGATTTTGAGTTTCATTCAACTTTGGACTGCTATGTGACGCTAGACCGCTTCTACAAGTCTTGCATAAAGATAAGCGATCACTAGAAACATCCAAATTAGTAGAATTTCAAATTTTAGCAGTAGTTTCGGAGAAATGAATCATGGTACTACAAACTGACTGAATGTGTCCAGTTTTACCACATTCAAAGCATTTAGAATTACGAAGTACACATGAATTACACAGGTGGAACTTGCCACACAACAAGGATTCACCAAACTTGTGCTCATCTTCGTGAACTGTTTCACAATTTATTGAGCTGTTATCTGAATAACTTTAGTTACATATTGGAGTGAGGCCACGTATTGAAGTAGTGGAATTCCCGATGTTCTGGCGAGTCATTTCATCGAATGTTTCTCGTTTGCCGCATTCGAAATTTGTATACTGTACATGGTTCAGTATTAGTTGCTTGAGAATTGCGTACGGGAGTGAAATCATCTTGTCTGGAAATGTCAAAGTCTTTATTAATCTGTATGCTTCTTTCCAGATGAACGGAAGGAATTGAGCCACAATATTAAAATCCTCAATATCTTCCTCGGTCATAGCCCAGATTTCGAACCTCTCCATGTATTCCTCAAAAGCATTAAAATCCGAATGTATATCCAACCGTTCCATCACAGGCTTCATCGCGACGCCACTGTGATGTTTAAAAGTATTTGAATTATAATATAAACTAGCGATACCAACAATAACGCAATTCAATCAAGAAGTATTCGATGAACACGAATGAATGTACTGTAATTGGAATTCGAAATCCAAACAGTCATCAATACAAAGAAATCAATGGTTTCTATAAACATCACATTACTTCAAGGTGGATGACAGTGATAAGCAATGACAGACATCTGTGTTACTTTAGAAACGTAGATGGTGTAACCTTATGAATGTAATGGAAGCAATGTTGTTTTTCTTATAAATCAGCTGAACAGGAAGACAAAGTCACAAATAATGATCCAACTCTCGGATAACAACCGGTCGTTGGGCAAGAAGATACTATCAATGCAATCTCAGAAGAGGATAACATCATACATCCAAAAGAAGAAGGAGAAAACACTGGGATATCGATTCCCAATGGTGGGAGCAATGAAGGGGAATCCAGTGAAAAAATTATCTTTACAGATGGCTAGTACATATTCTATTCTTTTCTTCTCTTTTTAACATTTTTTTATTGTATTTTGCAATATTTTCATTCTTCATTCAATATTTTCACGACAACTACAGACATTCTCTTTTTATTTTGTTCTAATTTTTTTCACGTTACCAGGCTTATATATTTTACTGTTCTTCTTTTTCGTCAACTTTTCTAAATGTGTGTTCGTGAAAATTTTAACCTTTGAATGTTTAAGTTTCTGTGTTGATTGAATTTAAATCACCCTGGAAAATCCATAAGCACTGAACCGCCATTTGGTCCTAAAATGAGACTCCCCAGCAGTACGTATCCACAATTCCTCACGCGCGATTCCAATCGAAAACTTTCATGTTCGCGCATGAACGAATAACCTGTTGATCACTGAACCGGTGTTTAACAGTATTAGTATGTAACTTCAAACAATCCACAATATTGAGCGATCAATCACGATTGTCTTCAGTGAGTCACCATCTCACAATAGACACGGTCGTGCTTCACTGGTCATTGATTCTCATTAGAACTTATGGAAACATATCTTGAAGCCAGTCACTAGTGAACATATGATACTTAGTGTCGGAATAGCTTAATAACTCGCATTATTCTTTTTAAAAAATTGATGAGTACGTTTACTGAAACATTTTTTTTACTTTTTCAATATGTTCCAGATATCTTTCTTTTATTTATTCTTCTGTTAAACTAAACTGGTCTAATAATAGTTTATCATTAATTCATTTTTACAGAATTTATGGGTCCCGAACCTGTTTAAATGGAAGATAATGCTAACGAAGGAAAAACATAATATTTAATTTTTCCAATATATTTTGTTTTTCTTTATGATTTGAATACACAACTTGAAAACAAACTCTAACTTTGTATTTTGAATAATCATTTCTACATAGTTTGGTATTTGTCATACAATTGTTTGGTCACCGGATTATGGTCAACGTCTTGTATGTCAGATCCTTCTTAGTACAGATCGAATCCTATCGACCGAGTTGCTATGTGATCATCAGTTTAGATGACTCGACAATATCAAAATTTATCTTGTGATACGAAAAAATTAATTGACAGTTTAAAATTGACTAGCCGGAGAACTAAGAACTACTGTCGCTCATTTCATCACATTTACCAAAAAGGATGATTACAGCTCATCAAAAACGTTGACATTCTCAGATAAGCCTATTTCACTCGTCTATGCAACTCTCAAACAACTACTGTGAAGTCATGTAAGGTGTACTAGTTTCGAATGTCGTGAAGGGGCAAACTTTCATAACATGATCCGTCAGAATAACCAATAGGTTGGAGAATTTATTGTTGAATTGCAAAACAAGGTGCCAAATGCAATTTCGGTGGTCAAATCCATGTATAACTGTGGGATCTATCGACTGATTGGTTTACTGATTGGGAGGATTAACACACCTAATCTAGAAGGAGAGCTCATGCAAATACCGAAGTGCTGTATTCAAGATACTGGAACTGCATGTGTTAACTATGAGACAACGCATGAAATTGACTTCCAGGACATCAAGAACTCCACAACACCACTTAGTTATCCCAAACCGATGCGTACTCAAGATCATGCATATAACATTTCATTGAGGAATTGCAAAGGAGGTCAGGAGGGTGAGTACACGTTTGGTAAATGTTTGTCCTATGGTAAATTACACTCACGTAATGCATGTGTACTGCATAATGTTAAATGCTTTGAAATGTGGTTTAATTGGACACATCCAGTCAGTTTGTGCCAGTACTGTACATTATTTCACCACAGATCATGCTAAACTCCGTCATCCACATCCTATTAATCCGGGTGATTCTGATGATCATATATTATCCTTACTTAAAACTGCCAATGATTCACTTCATATTGGAAAACGATTATATCTGTCGAGTGGTGCTTTACATATTCTGAGACATAAGTACATTGATGTGTTGAGAGTGAATCATATCGAAAACTGGTTCGCACTTCATTTGTATATATACCAAAAGAAATTATGATGATATTGTATAGATATGACTTTATATTAACTGTAAGTGACTGTAGTAGTGATATAGCATTTAATGTGAATCCGAATTCTTGTATTTACGTCAACTTACTTGAACTTCATTGCATTTCTGAACTTGTCCTTTGTGCGGTTGTTCATCGTTTTAAAAACCTTGATATCCATATTCGCCAACGTATGCCTAATCCTAAAGAATATCAAAAGGCGTTGTGATAGGCTAATAAGTAAATTATTAATTATGTCAGTGCTCATGATTAGAGAGATACACTTGGCTTTCTTGAATGAACATTTGTGATTCCGTGGAACGGATAAAGATTCAGTTACAGCCTCCTGCTGAGTTTGCTAATAACCTTGTTCAGCAGTAACGACTTGGCGTGAAATCTAGATTACCGGTTCAAATTCCTGAACGCAATCTGCACCAATCCTCACAGATGATGTGTCAGCAACAACTGAGTACTATACATCTGAAGTGAAATTGGAAGAAACCTTGGCGGGTTTGTAAAGCTGGTTTCCGGCTCCACGCTTCAGTTGAATGTGCTAGATCTAAAAGCGCTAAACAGAAAATTAACGCGATGAGCGAACTCGAGAATAAAAAGGTAATTATATGGAAAATGATCAACTAGGAACCTATTTTTTAAAGCGTTTCAGGAATGGCGTATTTATAAAAGTAAGTAGTCGTTTTATATCTGGTCTTAAATCATCACTATCAAATAATCATCAAGTACATTAAAAACTAGAGACAAAATGAACAATTATCAAGTGGTTAAGCAAAGCTTAAAGACGCCTTTGGAAGCCGCTAAAGACTCTAGGCCTTTTTAGATACTTAGATGACGTTCCTATTCCAGTTATTCATTAGCCATGTATGAACAACTGTTAACTCTTATTAACAATTCACAGCATGTCAGTATAAGTAGTTTATATTTAGTTGTTTCTAATATTATGATACGTGCCCCAGTAACTCTAGCTATCAAAATACAGAGCTATTGAAAAACACTCAATCCATTACTTCAAACATACATCACTCACGCGAGGCTCATGACATCTTTAATCGAGATACTCCTACACCGTTATTAATGCTTCCGATATTCTGGAGGGACATAAGTTCGAAACTTCTAAAAGCCCCCAACCTCACATGTATCCATTCTCGGACATCAGTTGTATGTTGCAACGCTACCTCCATAAAGTGCGCCAAATGTGATATTGATATTGACATGTTTCTTATGAAATCCATTTACATTCATATCTTATGAAATATCAACCCAACTGAGTAATTTTCAACAGTGAAAATTGTAACTTCTTTAACAATTTGATCTTGCCTGTAAACCGGCATGCCTCATGTAACAATGTTATTTGAGAATAAATTATTATTATTATTATTATTATTACTCTCACTCACTTTAACTTAGTAGGCCACTTGTTTAATATGTGTCTTATCAACGCTAGGTCGATCTGCAATAAAAGGACTGATGTAGCTCTGTTTGCTTCCATATATCAACCATCACTTTTAATGATATCTGAAGCATGGACTAACAGTAATATTTCCGATCTAAGTATATCTCTTGATAACTACCTCCTATATAGAAGCGATAGATTGAAAAAACGAGGCGGAGGATGCCTTATTTATGCTCACTCTAGCTTAAACTCACTACTATGCGATATACCTGAACTAAACAAACTGAAGGACTCGGTGTGGATTGTTTTAAAGCCATCAAATTCCATTACCTTACTGTTCGGCTGTATCTACCAGCAACCTAACTTGGCAATAGGTGAAATAGCAGTATTATCAGAGGTATTCACACTAGCATCATCCCTTCCATTCACAGGCAAGCTCATTTATGGTGACTTCAACATGCCTGAAATTTCTTGGTTTCCAGTCAAAGCTCCGAAACGTTATGAATCATTTATTGAATGTTTAGAACTAGGACAGTGGATTCAATATGTTAGTAGCCCTACCAGACATCAAAATATCTTGGACTTAGTCTTTACCAGTGGCATCACCCCCAATACTGTGTATATTGGAAAAACGTTTCCAGGTAGTGATCATAACACTGTCGTATGTAGCCTTAATATAAAAAACACAAACGGTAGACGTAAAAATGTAACCCTTCGTAGAAACTATCGCAAGGTAGATTGGAATAATTTTCACAATTACCTAAGAAGCACTGACTGGGGAACATTCTTTACTGCAAACAATACCGACACACTAACCAATATATTTTATCACAACATCGAAAGTATCATGAACAAAATCGCACCTTTAGAGTACTGGAGACCTAAGTTTTCTAAAGATCTGTTTATACCGGTCGGTACACGAAGACGTCTGCAGAGACATTGTACTCGCTTCCACAACTAATGACTTCTTCTCTTTAGTAACGATGACAGAAATACTTGTCCAGACAGACACAATAAGTACACAAAAAGCAATCGAACAGGAAAAACGTGCTGTCGAACTTAGTAATAACTCCTCAGCACTCACCACACTCTTTCAAAATAAACTTAAACGTTCTAAGTCGAGAGGAAACATATTTGTTAAAGACAAACAAGTATACGAAGATCCTAAACTTGTTACGGAACTATTTAATGAACACTTTTGTTCCTCATTAACTGATGAAAAACCACTTAATGATTCAGAACTTATCACAGCATCTGCCTGTGAGATTACTAACGTAGACTTCAATGTACAGAATATCTCTAAGGCAATTAGTACACTGAAACACTCTTACACTGATGGACCAGATGGTATTCCGGCTAGCATGCTAAAACGTGGAGGCAATGATATGTGTGTTTTATTACTCAAACTATTTGCGATATCACTCTCTACAGCGCATTACCCTACTGCCTGGAAGACTACACACATCATTCCCAAAATTAAAACAGGACCTGAAGCAAATGTTGAAAATTACCGACCCATAAACATAACTTAAGTGGTGTCTAGAGTGATGGAGAAAGTAGTTAAAGCGGCGTTAGTCCAACATCTAATTACTAATAATCTCATCTCCGTCTCCCAACATGGATTTCTTAGGTCCAGATCATGTGATACATGCCTAGTGGACTACATGAATGATATAACTTTGAAACGAGACAATGGACTCTTTGTATCAGTCATATTTTTAGACTTTAGGAAAGCTTTTGATAAGGTTCCACACAAACGGCTACTAGCCAAACTACGGTCCTTCGGAATCAACAACCCACTCTATTCATGGTTTGTTTCATTCTTAAAGGGACGTAAACAAATGGTAAATTACAACGACTGTCTCTCATTACCTAGACCAATAACTAGTGGCGTCATCCAGGGAAGTGTATTAGGCCCACTTTTGTTTCTCATGTATATAAACGATATATGTAACATCATAAAATCTGGGAAACCATACTTATATGCTGATGATCTCAAAATAGTATACAGCTATAAGCCTGAGGTTCTAAGTGAAAGTGTACGCTTGATTCAAGATGATCTCAATAACCTAACTATCTGGAGCGAAAAGTGGCAATTACCATTTAACCTCCACAAATGCGGGATCATGCACTTTGGAAAGCACCCCTATGAACCCCAACTTTACTTAAATAAAAGTAAAGTCCAGACACTGAATTCAGTACACGATCTAGGAATAAATTACACAGAAAGCCTAAACTTTAAAGCACATGCCTCCTTTATTATTTCTAAAGCCAGACGTCTAATTGGCTTCATAACAAAAAATTTCTTCACGACAGATGCCAAGCTTACCCTCTACAAAATATGTGTACGACCTTCCTTAGAATACTGCTC